GCATGGAGAGAAGAATGAAGTTCGTCCATTTGAAAGTATATTGGTCTTGTAAGCGTTCACGCTAGACTGCCAATGAGTCCCATCGAGGCAAACTTCTCCCACTATCACCCAGCCTAAGTCCAAGCGTTGTGCATAAGGTGTGTTGTGAGGTCCGTTGTGCTGTTCACGCACTTTGTGCACACTAAGAATGTCACGTCCCAAAAGGAGAAGGATAGGAGCACTAGGATCTAAAGGTGGGATTTTATCTGACACAGTAGTGAGGTGAGGGAAACGCAAAGCTACCTCGGGCGTAGGAATCTCAGATCTGTCATCCGGTAAGGTATTACACTCTATCAAGGGCGGAAGAGCAACAACGGTTCTCCCATCAAGTGACTCAATTGAGAATCCACTTATTTTCCTCCCCGCCGTGGAGACTACGCCTGAACACGTTTTCAGTGTATAGGGGGAAGAACCGCTAACGATGTTGAACAGATCAAAGAACTGTGACTTCGCCAATGATCTATTACTCTGTTCGTCCAGAACAGCATAAATGCGTTTGGCCTTTCCGCGTTGATTAGAGGGGTAAACGTTTACAAGACAGATCTTTGAACAGGACTTGGGTTTAGCAGCATCCCCGCAAATCTCAGTGCACTTGTTGTTGATCTCAGCAACGTCCTCATCAGTTTTTTTCATAAATTGATCTGGTGTTGATACAGACGCTTCAATGGACCTCGGAGCAGGACCCGGATGCATGGCTGCAATGTGTCTATCACTGTCACATTCTCTGCACTTAATAGATGCTCTGCAGTCTCTTGCAACATGCTTAGTGGAAGCACAACATCTAAAACAGATGGACTTTTCCTTCAGATGAGCTTTTCGTTCGTCCAAGTGTTTGCTTCTAAAAGTGCGACACTTGTGAAGTGGATGAGTCTTATTGTGTAAGGTACAAACCTTATCTGGGTCTACATTCTCATCAGAGTTTCTTTCTTGGCTTGGTCGTGAAGCCATTATTTCAGTCTTTTTTACGAAGACAGATGTTCTGTTGTTCATCCTGACAGCTCCGTCGAATTTTGTGTTGTTCAAACGGCCAGTTGAAGCGAGTGCAAAACTAGGATCGTTTCTGGTTCTTGCTTGTCTACAAACAAATTCGACAAAAAAGCTGAATGGAGGAAAATACACATTATGGTCCTCCTTATACCTGGAACCTTGTGAAATCCATTTGTCTTGCAGGCTGAATGGGAGTTTTTCTACGATGGGGTTGACTCCCCTCGCTGTGTCCAAGTAAGTGAGTCCAGGTAAACGTCCACTCTCCTTTGCAGACTGCAGTTCAAGCAACAGGTCTCCAAGGTCTCTCAGACGATAGGTGTCTTTGTTTGTGATGTAAGGAAAAGCCTCAAGTCTCCTCAACATTGCCTGCTCGATGACCTCTGGACATCCGTAGCAGTCTTCAAGGCGACGCCATATCATTCGTACTCCTATGGCAGGATTGTTGACATGAACTGATTTAATTCGTTTGGCATGCTTAGACGAATCAGGACCAAGCCATCTGATGAGAAGGTCAATCTCCTCTCTGCTTGTTATACTGAGTTCACTGGTTACAGCTTGAAAAGATGTTTTCCACGCCCAGTAATTTTCTGGACAGTCGTCAAATTGAAACAGGCCAGAACTCACCATTTCTTTTTTCAACAGATATGTGGCGAAGTCCTTCGCCTGTGGTGGTGTTGGGCTAAAGCACTCAGCAGGGTCTTGAGAGGGCAGGCCTGACTCACGTGGTGTTCTTACAGGATAGTTTTGACACCTTACTTCATCAGTTCTATCTAATGGCTCCATTTTTACATTTGTAGGAGAACACTGGAAGTTGTGTTGAATTGTCTGTTCCTGCATCATAGGAATTGTGTCAGCATTCGATTCCTCCTTCACCATTGGAGGTGGTGAACTAAGTGAGCCTGCAATATAGCTCCGCATTACATAACTTGAGTTCTCACTTGTTTGTTGTGATTTAGTATTCAGATTAGGAGCATTTTGTTGTATCTGTGAGTGTTTCTGCACATACTCTCGGGTGCGTTCAGCTCTGCTCGAACTGTATGATTCTTCTTCTAGGTCGACACTTGCACCATCTCCATAAACTACAGCTTCGTAAACTTCTGCCTCTGTGGATGCTGCTACAGCTTCTTTCTGCAATTGTAACACATATAAATCAGCCTCAACCTCTGCTTTTCTACGAGCCGTTACAGCCAGTGTTTTCTGTTGATTCTCTTCGATTAGAGCTTTTTCTCTCATCATGATGGCTTCCTTCTCTGCATAAGAAGCTTTTACTTTGCATGCTGCTGCTTTAGCTCTTGCTGTGGTCGCAGCCGCACTAGCTGAAGATCTACTTGAACGATGTGATCTGCTTGACCGTGATTTTGCTTCTAGCGTTTGGTCAGCTTCCTCTGCCTTCTTTTGAGCCTCTGACTCGTCCATCTTGTTATTGTAGTACTGACTGTAAGCTGGATTAAACTGTGTTTGGTTGTCTTCACCCGCCGTGCAGACGATCTTTTACTATTCTGTCCTGGCAATGGTGTTTTGGACCGAGCGTTGACAGATAGCTAACAGAAATAAAGCTCCATCACACGTTCTTCTTTGTGCTTATGTGATGCACACTTTACTTTACTTAAACTAACACAACATTATTACAGTTGTTTTCAATATAAATTTATAACTTACGATCGTATCTACTCCAAGGATTAGACAGCAAACAATGACGTGCATCCAAAACACAGATCACAGAACGAGTCTCTTCTTCTATTGCTTTACGCGCTTCCTGTTGTGCTCAGTTGGGCAGTGTAATACCATTTTTCCCCACTAGGTGTCACACACACAATCTTCTTACTAAGAAAAACTAACACTACACAGAACACCCACTGATGTCTAGATGTAAACACAGCAGAATCCGCAACCTAGAGGCCAATGTACCGCTGGGAGGACAAAGCAAGTGTGTGACCGGGACCCAGTTACACATTGGCGTCAATTTACAGCCGCAGAGCACAAAGAGGCCGTGTGTTTGAGTGGGTCGCCCCATGAGTGTTTATCTCTGCCAGCACCTACAGCCCTGCTCTGAAAACACTCGCTCTCATGGAGTATAATAAAACATGCTGCTCACGGGCAGACATGACGAGAGGAATGTGAAAGACTGCAGAAAGAAAAGGGATACATATAAATGCTTTCCCCTCCAGAATATACATTTCTTAGAGGAAATGGCTCCTTGTCGAAACAGAACGACATCTTGTTTTATTAAATTTTCCTCTGACGCATCTCATTTGTGATCACATTTTTGGTAACACTTCACAATAAGGTCTCATTTATTGAATTTAGTTAATGCTAACATGACCTAACAATGAGCAATATATGTTTTAAAGCATTTGTCAAACTTTGTTATTGTCAGTTAGTAAAAAATTGAAATGTTTATTGTTCATGTTAGTTCACAGTGCATTGACTAATGTTTACAAATGCAACTTTTGATTTTAATAATGCTAGTTCTGTGTTAGCATAAATAATACGATTTTAAAAATCATGACAACAAACCAAACAAAACCCACAACCGAACCAAAATCCCAAAAGAAGGAAATCAAAATAAATGAAAACAAAACCTTAAAAAAAATATACTAAAACTAACTTCAAACAAAACTAAATTAAACCCCCAAACAAAACCAATCAAAAACAAAACCCAAAAACTAACCTTAAACAAAACCAAACTAATGCCCCAAACAAAACAAACCCCCCAAAACTAACCTCAAACAAAACAAAACTAAATCCCCAAACAAAAATCAAAAACACCCCAAAACCCCAAAACTAACCTCAAACAAAACTAAATCCCCAAACAAAACAAACCCCCCAAAACTAACCTCAAACAAAACTAAATCCCCAAACAAAACAAAACTAAATCCCCAAACAAAAATCAAAAACACCACAAAACCCCAAAACTAACCTCAAACAAAACAAAACTAAACTGCCAAACAAAACCAATCAAAAACAAAACCCCCAAACTAACCTCAAACAAAACAAAACTAAATCCCCAAACAAAAATAAAAAACAACACAAAACCCAAAAACTAACCTCAAACAAAACAAAATTAAACCCCCAAACAAAACAAAATCAAAAACCAAACCCCAAAACTAACCTTCAACAAAACTAATGCCTCAAACAAAACAAACCCCCCAAAACTAAACCCCCAAACAAAACCAATCAAAAACAAAACCCCCAAAACTAACCTCAAACTAAACTTTTTAATGGCGGGTGCCAGTGTTTCGCATGCGTTCGACCAATCCAACCCTGTAGTTCACTAATGTTAGCAAATTAAACCTTATTGTAGTGTTTTCAAAAGCTATGGCTTATGCAGCCCAGCAATGACGTCACAACATCAAATATCTACTAGTGACCAAAAAAATACAGTCTTCACTGTAAAAAAAAGAAAAGAAGAAAATTTAGTGTGAACACCTCATAAATGTGCTTTTTAAAAATTCATAAAAACAAGACAAACATGTAAAAAGTTGGAGTTTTGTTGATTGGCAAATGAAGCGAGTAACAAGTGTGTTACTGTGTAATAAGACATGCAAGTAATATTAATAAGGATTCTGGTCTGGTATAAGGTTAGTTGCAGGTAATTGTGCATCATTTACTGAAACTATGAAACTACTGAACTAGCAAGTTCATGCAACATGTTACAAGGACACTGTAGAATCAAGTAGAGCGAGACTGCTGAAAAGGTTCGACTGAAATATGAAAGCAACGCGGACCAAAGCCATCTAAACGAAACGAAAACAGGAGGTGATGTAATAAGATGTGACCACATTCAGCCCAGAGCACATTGTTTTGTCCCGTCGCAAAATATAAAAGTGGTTTAATTTGTTTTGTGTCTAAGTTTGGTGTTAAAAATGACACATTGAGCGAACCAGGACTAAATGTATCATTGTCTTTTTTTGAACAAAAGATCCAAGAGAAACAAAGTGTGAACACACCCTAAGAGTACCGATGCATCATACCATTATTCTCTAGGACCTCTGGAAGGGATTCGGCCGCGGGTGAGCTCTCGGGGACGGGCACAGATGCTGCTTCGGGGGCGGATGGTGGCTCTGGGACGGGCGCTGGTTCAGGGGTTGGCACAGAAACAGGTTTTGAGCTGAGTGCAGACGGTTTTTCTGGGGCAGGCACTGATATTGGTTCGGGGCTGGGTTCAGGGATGGGCACCTCTGGGACAGGTTCAGGCACTGGTTCTGGGACAGACTCCTTCACTGGCTCTTCTACTGGGGCAGCCAGTGGTTCTGGTGACTTGGTGGGAGCCTGCTCAGGCACTGGCTCTTGCACTGGGACGGGCTCTTCCACGGGTGCGGATTCTACGGCTGCTTTGGATACAGGCTCGGGCTCTGGAGCTGCCTGTAGAAATCAGAGGTAGAGCAATAGAATAATAGTCATTTTATCTCATGTATATGCATCAGTGTCAAACACAGCTGATAATGCAGTACATTTAAGGTATTAGGGCTGCACGATTAATCAAAATTAAACCGGACACGATTTTGCGAAGTGAAGTACGGCTCTGTGATCAGTTGTAAATGCTGCTCCTGAAAGCCAGAGGGCGCTCTCTCACACACACACACACACGCCAAATATGCCCCACCGCAGAAGTACGATAACGCACATCATTCCAGTAAATCTCTATGGGCATCATACTATCTGTAGCTGAACAAACGGAAGATTGAAACACTTTGATTAAACATGACTAATGAACACACAACTATGACAATATATGATTTATATGAGTTCTTCAGGCCTTCTTGAGTATTTTCATGATAATAAAGTATATTTATACTTCAATTCTAATCGACATAGCCTTTACCACTGTATCGAATACTATGAAATAATATGTTGTATGCCTTATTCTGTGTAAGAAGCACATAAGGATCCTCAACTGTCGTTATGAAGTGAGTTTGGAGTAAAACATGTTATTAAAAGTTGTCTTTTGTTTGACAAGAGGTTTGGAAAGTGTTTTTTTCAAATGCGCATTATAAGCGACTCAAACTCGCAGTGCTTTCAGATGGAGCAGCGTTTACTGCTGATCACAGAGCCGTACGTCACTGACAAGCTGCGCATAAAAAAAAAAAATCAAGTTTTCTTGAAAAATAAATAAGCCAAATCGGTTTAAGCCTGATTTCAGTTCAATTCCGATCAGTCGTGCAGCCCTATAAGGTATGTTCATTCATTATTTATTGTAATTAAATGAAATGGGTTTTTTTTTTCGGAGAAAATAATCATTGGATTCTTTCTATGTAAAAAAAATTATGTTTATTATGTGGGACACTCGTGATTAGCTTGTCTTCTAATTAGTGCTGGGCAAGTTAACGCGTTATTATCGCGTTAACGCATTTATTAATTAATGCCGACAATTTTTTTATCGCGCGTTAACGCAGAGGTTTTTTTATTATTATTTTGAAAGTCCGTTGCTCACTGCCTCTGAATACACATAGGCCTACAGTCAAACCATGATCACAGGAGGGGTGGGATGTTGGTCAGCCAGCAAATAACCCACCCAAACAAGCAGTGGAGAGGCTTTGGCAGGTTCTCTCAGGTGAACAGAAAGGGAGACAGCGCTCCGCGAGTGAATGACAGGCGCTCTATGGATAGTAACCATGGCACCGGCTTCTGTGCGCTACGCAGCTGTAGCCTTTTTAACTTAAATTAAAATTATACATAACTTTACCTGATGGCCTGCGTTTAGTTTAGCGGGGATGCTCTGCCATGTGAATTCCCTCCTGTTGATGTCCTGATAACTATTTAGATTCTGGAAACTCACAAACAGCGAGCCGAGGATCAGTCTCTCTTCCAATGATTTGTGCTGCGCGTCGTGTACAAAAAAGTTAGACAATTCAACTTCGGCAACGCGCGGGCGCGTGCGTGAGGCGAGCATGACTGCAACAGTTTCACAGGAACGCACCCGCTTGTCGCTTTACCTGTGCTCGACCACTTCACCTCACTCTAGGCTGATTTATACTTCTGCGTCGGACTTACGCCGGAGCCTCTACGCTATAGACAACGCGTTGGTTTTCATTTATATATCTGCGTCGTTGTCCGCGTTGACGCGCAATTACACATGAGGGAGAGTGTGAAACCCGGGGAGCGGTTCTAGCAATCACAGCGCTTGCGGTACGCGTAGAATTGACGTTACATTTTTGGAGAGATGCACGTCAGGGTACGCGCGCTACAGCTACGGCGTGAGTTCGATGCAGAAGTATAAATTGGGCTTTACCTCTGTTTAATGTAATCTTACGTGGGAAACCATGGCATGCCATGCCCAAACCTAAGCTGCTATCAGAGAAGTAACGTTGGTCGACTTATATCTGTAGTAGTGATCATGACCCTTTGACTACATAGACTGTTTCTGCTGCTCCCTGATACAAGATACCTGTTCAGAAAAAAACCCCAAGAAAACTGGACTCATTTTAACAAGCTAGATAAAAGGTAATGCCCTGGCAGTGGCAAATAGCTTTGTTTAAATATTTGATTTGATTACATTAATGTTTAAGTTGAGATTTACAAGAAATATTTTATTGATACTGTGTAAAGGGAATACTGCTGGTATAAAAGCACCTTATTTGTTTAAAGTTTTTGCAAACCACATGTTATTGCACTTTTGTAGCAGTACATTTAAATCAAAAGTGCGCAATACACTACTAGAATTCATTATTCAATTTTGCGCGTAATAATGCGATTAATCGCAAGAAAATCATGCGATTAATCGCGATTAAATTTTTTAATCGTTGCCCAGCACTACTTCTAATGCAACACTTCATGAAGTGGTTAATTCATGTAAGTAGAAATAATATACATTTTAAAAATGACAACAAACTAAACTAAACTAAACTCTCAACCAAACAAACTAAAAAGGAATCAAAACAACCCCCACACACAAAAAAAATAAAATAAAAATAATAATCAAGCAAAAACAAACCCCAAAACAAAACTGAACCTCAGATTAAAAGTATTCAAAACAAAACCCTAAAAAAGCCAAACAAACCACAAAACATAACTAATGGTGCGTTCAAGTCCTCCTGGGGAAGTTCGTACGTACGAGGTGGGAAGTCGTGTTTACGACGGCAGTGCGTTCAAGTCACTTTCGTCGGAGGAAGATGCCGGAGTACTGTCTCTTAATTAATTACACAAAAATACAGTAAGGTTCTTAAACTCTTGTTCTAGAAAATGAAGAACAAAGAAATTTTTATCGGATGTAGTTTGTTTTTTATGTTTTTAATTAATTTATGAAGCCACTTCCAACTTTATCGTGACATGTTGCACTGTTATATTATAAATGCCATCAAATTCGCTTAACTGCGCTGTAAATAAGAAAACCTTGACAATATCACTGCATAATATTTAAGTATTGTGTTATTCCGCCATGTTTCTCAGTGACACGCCCACAACTCGTAAAGATCGGGGCTTAGAGAAAATCCCGAGCTCCCCACTGGTATTTACAACATTGTGGTGGCGTTCAAGTGCGTTCAACTCGTAAATACGATCTATACGAGATGACTTGAACGCACCATAAACCCCAAACCAAACGAATTAACCCCCCCCCCCCCCCCCCCAAAATATAGCCAAACCACAAAACATAACTAAACCACAAACAAAATGAACATAAACCCCTAAATAAAGTAAAACAAACTCCCCTCCAAAAAACTAAACCCAAACAAAACCAAAACAAAACTAAATCCAAAACATAACCAAACCCTAAACAAAACGAATATAAAAAAATTTAAAAAACTCCAAACAAACCCCAAAACCCACAAAACCAAAACTTTACTCTTGAGTTTCTATGTAGAAAAAATGTGTTTATAATGTGGAACATCTAAAAACCTCAGGATTAGCTTGTCTTCTAATTCATGTTAGCAGAAAGAATTTTCTTCTTCTTTTTAAACACGACAACATGCAAGTTATAAACATCCCATCCATACATTGGATACAGAATACCGGTACGTCACAACTTTGAAGCCACTGAATTCAAACATTGATTCAGCTCATTCTGCAAGCGGAGGGCACTAGAGCATCTGTGTGACAGCTGTCATCTGCAGTCGCTCCAGCCTTAACACACACCTGCTGTTCATGACAAGGGGACAGAGCTCGTCCAAACACACAGCACTGCTTCTGCTGGCCATGAATGCTCTCAACTCAACCACTTACATGCACATTAACCCAGCGAGAAACAGCTGTGCAAGCCTTCCAACTACCAAGTGACTTCTTGACCATTCCCTTGGTGGACTTTTCCCTTGGTGGACACTTTTCTCCCTACTATTGTTAATCAAACTTACTAAGGATTTGAAACCCGTACTAATACTACCATACTCGGTAACATGACCTTAATCGTACCGCAGCACCATTTTACACCATACAAGAGCAAAGTGGATACTGGATTGAATTGGAGTCTGTAGGGATTAAGGTTATCCAGAGAGGTTAAATTTAGGATTAACTGTAGATTTGTGCCATTATTAGATTAGGTGATCCAGAATGTCAACAACAAGCTGGTGAAAGGGAATGCCAAGAAGAATGAAAGTAATACTAACAGAGCCGCATTTCCTAAAGAAAAAAAAAATTAGCAGCGTTTCCCCATTCAAAACTTTCATTCCTGATATTTAGCTTTTTCGGGTGGTTGCCGCCTAGGCCTTGCTGTAAATTTGCTGAGGCATTCTGAGTGATGCAATGCTCTTGGGTTGCAATGCTGTTGCTAGGGTGCTCTGAGTGGCATTGCTATGCGATTGCAAACATATTCTGAGTTTTCAGTGTTGCTATTCAGTTGCTAGGGTATTCTGAGTGGTTGCCAGAGTGTTGCTATCCATTGTTACGTTATTTTGAGTGGTCGATAGAGCTGCTGCGCAGTTGCTAGGCTGTTCTGAGTGGTTGCCAGGGAGTTGCTATGCATTGTCAAGATATTCCGAGTTAAGATATTCTAGCAACACCATGCTGTTGCAAGGGTGTTCTGAGTGGTTGCCAGGGTGTTGCTATGCATTGAGGAATTTTGAGTGATTATTAGTGCTGCTGAACAATTATAGGGTGTTCTAAGTGGTCGCCAGGGTGTTGTTATGAATTACGATATTTTGAGTGGTTGATAGTGCTGCTGCGCAGTTTCTAGGCTGTTTTGAGTGGTTGCCAGGGTGTTGCTATGCATTAAGGTATTTTGAGTGGTTCATAGTGCGTTTTGAGTGGTTTCCAGGGTGTTGCTATGCATTTACTAAGGTATTCTGAGGTGTTAGTGTTTCCATGCAGTTGCTATGATTTTCTGAATGGTTGCCATGCTAAGGTATTCTGCAGTTGCTAGGGTGAAATGAGTGTTCAGTTGCCAAGTCTCTGGTATTATGGCCAACATATATGGCTCTGGTCCCTCCTTCAAT